GACTGAATCTTTTGGCAGTGTGGGGATGCAGTCAGGAAGGCCAACCGCACCTTGTCATGCATCCACAGATGCATCTCAAGCAGGTCCAAGGAGGTGATCCTCCCCCTCTATGTGGCACTGGTCAGGCCACAGCTGGAGTACTGCGTCCGGTTCTGGGCACCACACTTCAAGAGGGATGTGGACAACATGGAGAGTGTCCAGAGTAGGGCCACTCGCATGGTCAGGGGGCAGCAAGGCAGGCCTTATGAGGAGAGGCTCAGGGACCCGAACCTGTTCAGCCTCCACAAGAGAAGGCTGAGGGGGGATCTAGCGGCCTGTTACAAACTAGTCAGAGGGGACCCAGCAGGCATTGGGGGAGTCCCTGTTCCCCCAAGCACTACCAGGAGTGACTAGAAATAACAGTCACAAGCTGGCAGAGGGGAAATTCAAATTAGACATCAGGATGCGCTGCTTCACTGTCAGGGCAGCTAGGATCTGGAACCAACTTCCAAGAGAAGGGGTGCTGGCTCCTACGCTGGGGGTCTTTAAGACAAGGCTAGACAAACACCTTGCTGGGGTTGTTTGACCCCAGTACTCTTTTCTGCCATGGCAGGGGGTCGGACTCGATGATCTGCTCAGGTCCCTTCCAACGCTACAAACTATGATACTATGAAGTATATCTGCACTGCAAAATACAGGTGTGGTTGGGGCACAGATGCACCTTTCTTCCATGTTTACTTTAATCTAGCTAGCACAAACTGGAATGAAGACAGGTATCCACAGGCTACCTGAAGATGTTCTGATTCACTAGTATGCTTGTATTTGGGCTGGTAGCCAATTTGAAATCTCATGTTGCTATGTCTTCACTAATGTTATTACCCTAAACTTCATAACAAAAGCTATCAGGGATGTTCCTAAATATGCTGCAATCATACCGTTCTTTTGCTGAGCAGATTTGCACTTAAATAGTTGGAGACCAAAACACAGATAACCTAAATAGTTACATATGTCATCTCACTAGGGTCCTGAGAAAAACTGTGACTGTGGATTGTGTAAAAACTGCGAAATTTGCCCCACACCATGATTTTTAAGGGATGTGAGTATAGGAAGCAGAAGGCCAGGCCTAACAGGGTTTAGCCCTCTCAAACGCAGGGCAGCCCAGGCCTGTGCTGCCCAGGCATGGACTTCGGGTGGCTGCACCTGGGGGGAGGGGTGCGCAGCCAGAGTCTGCACGCAGCCAGATGGCACTGCTCACCACAGCAGTTAAGTCGGGGAAGGGGCATACTGAAGCCCCCACAGGGAGGAGAGAGTGGGGCAGAGGCAGGGTCAGGACACGATCGGAGCCCAGGTGGCTTCTCCAGGGACGGGGCTTCCGCCACTGCATACAGCTTGGGAGAGGCTTGGATCTGCTGGGCAGAGGTGCCCCCCAGATCTGTGCACAGGGTGGAGGTGGGCTACTGCTGTGGGCCAGGTTCTGCGCTCCACTGCCCCTGGAGCAGCATGTCATATGCCTGCTGCTGCCAGCTCCTGGGGCAGTGGCAGCAGGGCAGAGCCCAGCCCGCAGCGGCAGCCACCTCTGCCCTACACACAGATCCAGAGGGCTCATGCCCCCCAGGCCTCTCCTGAGGTGAATGCAGCAGCAGAAGCCAGACCCAGGCCCTGGATGAGCCTCCTGGGCTCTGATCATCCCACAACCTGCCCCAGGGACCCAAACACCGCAGCCCCTGCCCACTCCCTCCCTGTGGGGGTCTCAGTCTGCTCCCCACCACACCCTTTCCCCTTCTCTTGCTTGCTGCGGTGGGCAGTGCTTGGCACACCATCTGGCTACATGCAGGCTCCGTGTCTGTCTGTGTGCACCCCCCACAGCGGCAGCCACCTGGAACCCATTCGGAGGCTGCCCTGTAGCCCTCTGCACTGCCCCACACTTGAGGGGGCTAAGCCCTGTTAGCTCTGGCCTTCCATCGCCTATGGCTATGTGCCTGCCTGCTGCCCGTGTATGGGTAAAGTATCATTTTTCACAGAACATTCACGGAACTACTAGGATCATGCACCAAGATCAATGGTAGTTCCATCAACGTTCTGTGAAAAATGATACTTTACCTGTGCATGTGCTGCAAATTTTCGACAAAAAAATCTATAATTTTCTCAGGGCCCTACTCATCACGCACATGCATATAGTTATTCCCTCCAACCAATCAACCTGATGACCCAAAACAATAAACTGCTGCAGGTTTCTTTCTGATAAGGGCAGATAAATTTGTTATAGCAAAGCACTGAAAATGTATTTAACTGCCTTCCCTGTCTTGGAACAATCATATCAGTTCTGGAAAAAAATACTGAATTGAAAGGCAAAATAGAAAACATATAGCATGTTACCACTCAGCTTGTATTTTCACTTTTGTTCTAAAAACAAGACCTACATTTTTCATCCAGATCTCTCAAGCAACTTCACACACAGAAAAAGATTAACACTGTGTAGAGATGATTATTATTGACAACAAAATCAATTATAAAACCAAGTTATAACATGGAATATATAATCACATAAAACAAGACTGGAGGCTTTTCTTCCCAGGGACACTGGAAAACGTGTAAATTCAAAGTGGATTATTTAAACTGGATGGATCCTTTGTGTAGATGTTCACATTCAGATTTAAAATGTACTTAACTTGGTTTAATTTACTTGCAGAGTGAATTAAAGGCACTTCAATTCTGAATGAGCGCAGGAATTTGATTTGTGTAAACTATCTTAAAAGTTTATTCAGATTAATCTTTTTAAGTGTGCCCATGTAGGCAAATCCTGAGCAATTAAAGGAGAAGTGGTTTAAGACGGCATTAAGCTGCCTTTCAGTCAAGAACGGTTTGTTAACCAAGAAGGTGCCAAAACACAAATAGGTAGAATTAATTTACGTAGTGCCTAAGTTTATATAAATCTTCAAACACCACATAATCCTGTAGCTACGTCTGTGAGTCTGTAGTCCAATTCTATTTTGTTGCTATATGTAATACTAGCTAAAACCCGCAAAACATTTGTGATTAAATTTTTATTGCAAAAGTGTTTCTTTAAATACATGATTTTTTGTTATCCTTTGACTTTAATAGAAGCAAAACTTCTCACCTTCAAAAAGGCTACATAAAAGCTGTCCGTGTGTAAACAGAGGTTTAGGAATATATATTCTGGCAAAAGTCTTACCTTGTGACTTGTTTATAGTCATAGAATAAGATGGCCCTTGTACACGTGACTAAGGGCCCTTGTATACATGAGGAAATTGCCCCTTTTAGTGGTTTAATTGCCCATTTTAACGATTTAATTGTGTAACAGTCTACACCAGGGTTGTCCAACCTTTTTGAATGTGGGGCCGGATCATGAACTTTTTATCACCCAGGGGGCCAGCGAGCCATATTCAAAGACTTCACAGGAAGCGGTATCACATCACGCCCCCCCCCCCAATAAAAGTACAGTGTTTACTTTCATTTCCCATTGCAGCACCTCAGGCCGCAGAAAACAGCTTGGATGGCCACATGGAGGCCCGCGGGCCATATGTCGGACAAGCCTGGTCTACATGTTCGGCAGCATGTTATGATTAAATGTTAATAACATCGTATACGTTTGGCGGCTATTTTAATTTTAATGATTTTTTTTACATAGCAAACTAAAACATATACCATGTATTTTAGCTTGCAGTGTAACAAATTACAGTAATATTCCTCACGTGTACAAGGGCCCTATCCAGAAAAAGCAGCAGGGATGGTGCACTGGGTGCTGGAAGCTCAGGCTTGACAGGCTTCCAGTGCCCCATACACCATCCTTGCCACCTTCTCTAGCTGCCAGCACACCCAGCCACCTTCCTGCTGCCTTCCTGGGGCACCCAGCTTGTTCCCAGGTCGTCCCAGGCAGCAAGAGTGGTACATGGGGCACTGGAAGCCTGCCAAACCCAAGCTTCCCTGAGCACACCCAGGCTTCCAGTGCTCCATGCGCTGTTGGATCCAGTGGGTGCTGCCTGCGAGCTGTGGCTGCACCTGTGCAGCTAGCATCCTGCCCAGGTGGTCCTGGGGGGCAACACTGCAGAGAGAAGCACCAGGCCCCCCTGCAGCTCAGCGGCTATGCAACTGGGCAGGGTTAATGATTGTTAATAAAGTGAGACAGCACATACTAAATTGCACTCAGTATGTAAACTGCACATGTACTCGCATATATACAGTGCATGGGCCTAGACTGCATTGTTCCTTCTACATCACTACCCGATTTATAAGGGCAAGAAATACCACTTCTGAAATGAGAGGTCCACCAAGACCACTGAGATTGTGGTCATTTAACAGAAACAAACTATTCTTGATGAAGTGGTGCAAAAAGAAAAAGGCTCCCTGAAATTTAGTGTTCTTGAGGCATAGTCACTTGAAGGAAATCTTTAACACTGAAATGTCCTAAGACATAACCCCTCCCTTCAGACACAGATCTTTCCTGGTCCCTTCATTCGAAAAGTTACCTGTTCATAATAGTTAGATATTCACCATCACTCTGATGAAAAATAAGCAAACATCCATCTTAATGGGAGGATTGAATGACAGGCAAAATAAAAATTATACTTAGTATTGGGAGATAACATTCCCTGAACAACTGAAGACATTTCAGCTGAACCTCAGAGCTCAGGTCTCTGTTCACAATCCTTTGGCACAAAAGATGATACTTTTTGGTCAGAGAGAAATGCCACTGAATGTGCAAGAAGACCAGTGGATGCCTTCAGGCCATGAGTGGGACTCACTGCTGAAGCAATGTGTGGGAAGAACCCAAGTCTCACTGGGGACTGACTCTCTTTACACACCAGAAAAGTAAGGTCTCCAAAGTCAGAAGAAGGTACAAAAATTGGCTGGTTTTTTCACCCAAGACAGATCTTGGGTCCAAGTACGAGTCCCTACCCTCCCACTCTCCAAAACTGAACTGGGTTCTTGTGATGATGGTCAGTGCTGTCTGGTTCTCTTGAGGAATATTTCATGCATATAATCCCAGAACTTTCCCTGATGCGACTCATTGTGGTGAATCATGGCAGTGAGGGCTTCACTTTGGTCAAGGCTCTGCCAGTAATCCTGCAGCCACATCTCCTTCCAACTGAAATATACACGAGAAAGAAAGCACAAGCCATTACTATGTGAGAGGGTCTGGGGCTGAAGCATTATTAAGACTTAATTTTTCTCTCACCTAGGAGGGAACATAACCCAGGACAGAGTTTGGGGGAACTGAGTACAAAATACCAAATTATGGTGCCACTATGCTTCCACAGCATGTTCAACAGAACCTGCAATGTAATTTCCCTTTAAAAACAACAAAACCTCACTCCTGGCTTTGGGACTTGTTTGGAAAGAGCATGTGAAAATGTAATTCCACTCAAAGACACTTATTCAGCACCTTGGCAAATAAAATCCTCTAATAAAATATAACCTGTCATGGAACTACCTCTAGATTCTGCCAACTAGCTCTCAATGGCCCAAACAGTTGTACTTAGAGTTGGACTGAGACTGGAATTCATTTCATATAAAACATTCAATGGCAGTTAGATAGGAACAGCACTCTGCCATTTTATATCTAGGTTATATCTGAAGTGATAATTGAGGGGTGAAAGCCCTTCCCATCACTGACCCCCTCAGCCTTCCAGTTCCTTTTTTTAAAATGCAAGGGTTTTCAAATTTTTAATCACATGGACTACATCTTAACATCTGTCAGGCACCTCCCTTACCATTCGTGATTGTGTTGACCTCCTCTCAGTTTGTTCGGGGCAAGTCAAATATGCCAGGGCTTTATTTAAGTAGTCACTAACATCTTTCTATATCCAGCTACATCCGAGTGGGCACATCTGTCTAGTTACATCCTACTGGTCAGCTAATCAAGACTATTATACATACCAGCCAGAAGGAATAAATGGGAGGTTATGCCAAACCTAAGCCTGTGAGTTACTTACAACTTACTGCTTATCCATGGTGCCAGATTCCTGCGCTTCCCCTCTCTTCCAACCAGAAAAATGAGTACAGCACTTTCTGTATCTGTTGCATACACCAAACAAAGGATGAAATTTTGTGGGTGTATTGCCCAGAAGCAGCCCTCCTTTATGTACCAGAACCCCAGAGAATACACACAGCACATTCCAAACACGTTCTTTGTGAAGAAGAAAGTGGATTCAAGACCAAGGGAATCAGTTTTCCTTTATCAAATGCCATTTGAGATATGAGGTTTTTTCAGGATATGCTAATAAAGATCTCAGAACAGACGTTCCAGTACTGATTAAAATGCAGAGGATCAGGGCAGAGATGCTTGTACCTGCATACAAAGCATGTCTGCCTCAAACCCCAAAGGTAAAGCACAACATTCAGTTGTGCCATAAGGTCATTCTGCCTACCAATTAATTAATTAACCTTCTGCTCAAGGACCACCTTTTCTCCCTCATCAGCGCAGGTTAGATGCTTTTTGTGAAATTGAACGGCGGTGGTGGGAATACGTGAAAAGAGAGCACAATTGTTTAAGGCAGTGGTTATCAACTGCGGCTGTGCGTACCCCTAGGGGTACTTAAAAAGGTTGTAGGGGGTATACAGAACAGAAGTAGCTGAGAAATGCTGTGTGCTACGCAGCTGCAGTGTAGCACACAGGTGGTGAGCAGCTGGGTCCAGCTGGCAAGTCTATTGTTGGGGAAGAAGCATGGGGCGCGGGGCAGATCGAAGCCCCAGCGGTGGGAGAGGGAGTGGGGCTGGGGCTGTGTAGCCGGGGTGGGGCACGACACTGAGCCGTGCCCAGGGGGGAAGCAGCTCCCACTGCCATGTGCACCCTTGGGAAGGCAGGGCGGATTGGGGCTGGGGCGCCACCAGGCCCTTCCCAGCAGGGGCTGAGCCAGGCTGTGCTCAGGGTAAGCAGCAGTGGCACTGGGAGGGCGGGTTGGAGGAGCTATGGTGAATTCTGGAGTGGCTGTAGCCACTCCCATAGTCCCACTCGCATAGGCGACAAGGGAGTGGGACTGGGGCTGCACAGCTGGGCGGAATGCAGGATGGAGCCTGCCCTGCCCTGCGCAGACTCGGGGGCACGTGCCCCATACCCTCCCAGGGTGCACATAGCAGCAGGAGCCACCCACCTCCCCGTATCCCCTGGACAAACTGCTCTGTCCCACATTCCACCCTGGTTGTGCCCCAGCCCCACTCCCCCCTCACCATGGGGGCCTCAATCTGCCCCAGCCCCCTAAAAACTAGAAAAAAAATATAAAGGGGTACAGGAGCCAAAACTCTGAGTCAGAAGGGATACATTTGTTAAAAAATGTTGAAAACCCCTGGTTTAAGGTGTTTCCCCCAAGCTGCAAGAAGTGGTAGGGAGAGAATAGAAAAGGAAATAATTCTGAAGATGAAACCTGAGGAAATGTGGTTGGAGGGAATTATCAAAGTTAAAGTTTCATACTCTTTTAAAAGTGAAGCATGGGCAATTGTGGTTTGTGTTTAGAATTAAAATACTAATGTTATTTTATTAGTGACCAGGAACACTAACAGTTCTGCTGCATACAAAATAAAGCTGAGATTAACACCATGTAGACTTCCTAAAAGAATTAAACAAGTATAAGGACAGTAAGGATAAGCTGGCATTTTTCTTTTTGCATTGCTACTAACAATTTTTATTTGAGAAACAAATTTCCCTCTGACACTTACAGCTTTCTTTCTGCCAAGGAATACTACCCTAAACAAGAAGGAAATGGCACTGAATTATTCAAATACAAACATCATTACAGTTAATTATCTAGCTTTAATACTGTGGGGCAACTGGTAATACCTCTTTATTGACAGTAGCAATGATGCAGCAGTAAATTATATTGACTCTACTTGTGTGCTTCTGACAGTTTTGACTGCACATTTCTTATCCTGAGTTTTCACATGTGCATGAAACAGATTGGCATGCATCTCTCTCATCCCACTAGCATTTCTTATTTCCACTTGGAATCTTTCACATTACCAAACATTTGTAGTCTTTGGTTCATCTCACCTCCAATCTGAGCAGTCCACCCAAGGGACTACACTTGATCTTTGCCGCGCATAATATTCAAAGGCACTGAGGTAACTAAAAGGATATTGTCACTCACCTTCCTAAATGCATATATTTAGCATGATCTTGTAATCTACCCTGATTCTGAAAAAATAATCCACATTAGAGAAATAAATGGGACCTTTACAGCTTACTCAAGATGTGTGGACAACCATCTTCCTTCATTACATGTTTTTGGAAGTGCTATATACAGTACGGGTGTGTGAAGCGGGTCCTATTTGATTCAAATTCGGATTCAGCCGGAATCAGGGACAGTGATTCAATTCGTTGACTCAGATCACTGTCCCTGCTTTGATTCAGTTGAATCTGAAGATTCGATGCTGATTTGGAGAATCAGCAATTCAGATATAGGCACAGTTTTAAAAGTTTTTTCTACATACCTTCAGGTAGCAGGTGCGTCTCGTGATTGCTGCAATGCTGGGGTGCATGGTGTGCGCCACAGGAGTGCGGGGGGGTGCTCAGCGGTGAAGTACTTCTGGTCCATTTCTGGGCCTGCCAGGGAGCATGCTGGGGGGCCCCACCGTGCCTCCCTGGCTCAGCAATCGGCCACAAGGGGACCCTGGGTGCCCTCCCAGATCCAGGAGGCACCAATCACTGACCCAGGAAGGCATGGGGGGGTTCCCCAGCATGGTCCCTGGCAGACCTGGAGGTGGACCGAAAGTGCTTGTGGCTCACTTCCAGGTATGCTGCTGAGAGCACTGGGGAGCCCCCCTCCGCTTCTGTAGGATGCTCCACGTGCCCCAGCACCATAGTGTTCATGAGCCGCCTGCTACCTAGAGGTATGTAGAAAAAACATTTAAAGCTATGTCTATGTCCAAATCTTTCCGAATCAATTTAGACTGGAGACACCCATTGTCAGACACAAAGCACTCCCCAGAAAATGTCAGCTCTTAGTTTTCACTAACACTATTAATTCCTATTCA